TCCCTTCTTTACTTTTGGACACGTTTTTGAAATGTATAATAACTTGTTTTAATTTTGTATTCTGTACTTACAAATTTTAATGTTGCTTCTCCTTACCTAGGATCACTGCATTTCTTAATTTACCATCTCTTGAGTTCCTTGAGTAACCTTGTTGCAGCCATGTTTTGAGTTTATATGAGGTACAGTTAATTCTCTATTATCTGGGAAAACAATGAAATGGGATAATGCAAAATATGGATAACCCAAATAYTGTAAATTAAACTGCAGGATTGTACTGAGGTGAAATAGGTCAGGGGTTCTGYTCTGAAATTGTGTTGATCCAGACTGATAAATGCACTCTGTTTAGTGTGGTATAGATAAAACTTTCTGATTCTGGACCCAACTTAAATCAGATGAAAGCTGCTCAAATGCTTCTGCATCTGCTGCATAGTTAAACAACAAACTGGATAATCCTCCTGTGGATAATTGAGGCCTGATTCTGGTGGTGATTCTTACCTCTTCCATATCCTGACTGTAGCTCTTCAAGGTACAAGTCTGTGCTCACCCCTCCTGTGCAGGTTTTCCTCCTGCAGCAGAGCAGGGCCTCTGGGGTGGCTGCCATGGAGCTCTTTGCAAACCATGCCTGTGCAAATGCATATGAGAGAGAGGGTGGGTGGATGTGTGTTCTGTTCATTGCTTGCTGTGGCTGAACAAGGACGGAATGTGTTGGTAGAGACCTTGTTGGATGATCCCTGCCTAGCTGGGAAGTCTTATATGTGCCAGTTGTCAACAGGTGATGACTGACAGGAAACACAGGAATTTAGTTGTTCACTTGTGCTGGGGTACTCTCCATTTTCAGTCACTTATTTCTGCAGTTTCCTGCTTCATTTATTATTAAATGTCTCTTGCAATCTATTTTGTTTAAATTCAGAACCTTAAATAAGCCAGCATTTAAAATAATCGTTACACTACAAAATATGCATTCTTTCTATTTATGTTTAATGTTCTACAGTTCATTTTAAAGGGAAGTTCCCTATTACCACCTACTGTGTTTAAAGCCTGCATAACAAGTTCTTCTGGTTGTGAAGGCAGAGTCTGGTGCTTTTCCATCAAGTAAAGGCTATCTTGCCAAACATCTCTTTGTTATATGAAAAATACGATTYGAATTAATTTTTGTTTGTTTGTTTGCTATCAGCAGTTGATGTGTTCATTGATCTGATGCCTGTCTCAGTTCTTTAGTTGAACTTAGTTTTTTAAAGGTAATAACATCAGCCAATCCAGTTTTGGATTTTTCATCCTAATTTGTAAATTTGTTTAATTCTGGCAAACTTCCCTGCACTGCAGATGTTGGAATGTAATCTTGTCTGCCATTACAGTTGCCAAATATTGCTGTTTCCCAGATCTGGTAGCTAGACTGTGTTCTTCAGAATGCCTTTGCCTATCTTCTTTCAGACAGGAACTTGAAAAGCAGGGGATGATATTTTGTGTTCTTTCTATCATAAGTTTGTCTGTTTTCTTCAGTGGAAGCTATTGGCAAAAACTYTTTGCTTTTTCCCATTTTGTGGCTCTCTTTATTTCCATTTTTGTTCTTAATGAGCTGAGTATACATATATTTTTCTTAAGACAATTTTCTTAGCTTTATCCTGAAAATACCTGACTTGAAGTGACTAATCTATGTGTACTTTTTTTAAATGTTGTGTTTCTACCTTTTTTCTTGGCTTTGGACTGGTGTGTCTTTTCAAAGAGTACAGTTCCTGTGGGTTTCATTCTGTGACTTTGCTTTAATGAGCACAGTATTTTAATACTACTTTCCCCATTTAGATTTAATTTGGCTTTGGCATTAATATGCCTTTAATTTCATAATTTTGAAGATAATATTTCTTCACACAGCTTTATATCACCAGTTACCTTTAGATGTACTTGATTTTTTTCTTAGATACTTTGTCTTTGCCCTCAAGATGTATTTTTAGTTCTGTGGTAGATTTGGGCCACTTAGASCAGAGCAGAATCAGATATTCATTCAACAAAGAATGCAAACCTACTGGTTGGTAGCTTGAAAAAGATGCCAAGGAGGTTTACTAAATATTTTTCTTGTTTGTTTTACGTGTTCCACAACAAGCCAGTTCAAGAGTTGGGTCAGGAAAGTATAAATTGTTCTGTGACTTACACTGGTACTAACTGTTTGGTAGCTTGGAAAATAATTTCTCCATAAGTAAACAGTAGTGATGAGATTGCTTGTCAAAACAAAACAAACATCTTGCTTTTACTAACCAAGGCAAGCAGTGCCTGGCAATAAGGTGGAAACTGARGTTTCTTCTTTTTTTGGTCTTGTTTCATTCCATTTGGCAAAGATAGAGGCATCCTCTGGCATTAACTGATTCTATAAGATGAAAAGTTGTATCCTGATATACTCTTACTTCAGTAAAAATAGTGAGGCACTGAAGTGTGATAAGAGGAGTCTAGAAAGAGTGAAGAGTAGCCTCACAAGGCTTAAAGTGCAGCTTTGAGAAATGATATATTTGAAAATACAGGAACTATGTTCCATCCATCCATCCATCCATCCATCCATCCATCCATCCATCCATCCATCCATCCATCCATCCATCCATCCATCCATCCATCCATCCATNTCCATCCATCCATCCATCCATCCATCCATCCATCCATCCATCCATCCATCCATCCATCCATCCATCCATCCATCCATCCATCCATCCATATCCTTGCTTTTCTCTGAGTTACACCTGTCTTTTGTTTGTTTTATTGGAATTAACATTTTTGGTTACAGGAGTCAGAATCCAAGAGAGAAAGATTTCATCTAGATCTGTGAAAATCAATCCTTTTTTGTCCCTGTTAAAAGTTTGAGTTGAAAGCAATGGATCTGATGAAGAAAGCCATAAAGTTCATGATTTTCCTTAGGGCCATCCAGTGGTCTTCGAGGCAAGAAATCAATGTGTTTTTAATTGCTTTTTTAGTGTAAACATCTCCCTATTTTCCCCTGGAGGTTACRAAAGATTCAGGAAATCACATTTTTATTTCTCAGAGGTAGACCTTGCTGCCATGCCTCTGTCTGACCACTGGCATGGCACCCACAGTTGCTGCAGCTCAGGTTTTTCAGGAGGTGATGGAAATAAATGTTACTTTGGGCTGAGAGATGTCTCAGAGCTTAGTCTTGTTTTTGTGCTAGGGGCAGAGGACAAGAAGGACATGTGTTAGATCCCAGTTTGAAGCTCAGAAGTTACACCTCTACTAGATTTCTACCCTGGAGGGACCTTTACATGCAYAGGATATACTCGAGTGTAAAGGCAATGGATTAGAATGAAAATAGAACAGATTTCTCTTTTCTCGCAAATTAAGAAACCTGCTTTGCCATTCAAGGAATAACTGGATGGTAAAAATAATTTCTTCAGTGGACTAGCAATTGACTGCTGTGCACTGGAGTAGAACTAAAATGTTTCTATCAAAATAACTGGAGAAAGGGGAATACAGAATGCTTTTAATCTATTTTAGAGAGAATAGTTGGTAATGGCCTTTTTWCATTAAGAATGCCTAAATAGGATTGTTTATTTTGTAAACAGASAAATATCCTATGATACACATTTTTTAGCAGCTAGGAGAACCATTTGGGAATATAAAGGCTGACAAAAGAGATTATTCTTGTCTAATTGCTCCATTGACACATTTTAAAGATCTGTTAAACTGGTATAGAGAGACTGTTCCTTAGGTTGTTTATTTTGATGTGTTTTTTTAGCAGTGAGCACTGAGTACTTGAAAAAGATGGATGATGTCTTTGTRCTTAAGTGATTTTTATTTTTACAAYACTTTTCCTCATTAATCCCATGTAGAGGAGAAATGGTAGGAAAGAATAAGTTTAAATAAGTTATGGAATCYATTAAAACTAAAGGCAGTTATATTTGCATTTTTTAGTTAGAAGTAAAACACTATAAGGGTACAAAGTCTTTATTTGCCTAACTGTCAAATATTTGATATAAAAAAACTAAAACCAACTTCTTGGGGATGGTTAAACAAAAGATGTTCTATTTAAGCAAATCAGGATTAACATTTATGCTTCTGTATGGGGAAACTGGCCCCAACAAGGTTTTAAGTATGGGGTTTATTACTAATGCATAGGAGCTTGTTTCTGTCCCCAGAATGCCACTGGATGTGTTTTAATAGAAGATTAATAATTAGGGATAATAATAGAAGATTAATAATTTGGGATAGTTGTTCTTTAGATGTTACTAGTTTGTTATATAATTTTTAAATTTTAATTTACTGTTTTCTATGAAACAGGTGCTGCCACTGTGATAGGACATACAGAAACTGTTGTTATTGTTGCCTGTATCTTTTATCTCTTTGTTTTATTCTTTMTYCCTTATTCMCTTTTTTACCTGTTGGTCTCTTTTTGTTGATTTTCTTGTAATGTAARTGCTAACTAGACAGGCTTTAAATATGCTACATCTTTCATGTTGTGTGACACCTTTCTCATCTGTGTTTTTAATAACAATTCTAGTATTATCTTTRTATGGAAGCAATTATTGCAACATTRGAGAAGCACATATTTGTTTCTTGCAGCTCATAGTATGCAAAGAGCAGGCTGCTCTAATCAGTGAAGTCTGTGAAGAATTTTGGCATTCAATTCAATTTGGCAACTAACCATAGACTGCATTCTTGCAATTCATGTAAAATAAGACTGTCTCTAGTAATTTTTATTTTTTTTTTTTAAACTCTTGAGTTTTACTCTGTATCCAGCTGTAAAGCAACCAGCTAGTATAGGGGGAAAAATCAGACATTTAAAGTTTTAGTGTCCAGTTCATATCTGATAAAATGGAGACACAAGGTATGACAAGCCTGAACATTTTTCTAGCATGTGACTTGTGTTGATTAGTTTAGTAATGCTCAGTGGCTCTACTTAAAAGCTTAACTAATACTTTTAAGTATCTTTTAAATTATTTGGGGGGGATTTCTTTGTTGGGTTTTTTTTTGGTTGGTGTCCAAGATGAGCAATACGAGAGAATATCAGCTATGGATAGTATTTGTGAGACCCCTTGATGGGCTACAAATTCAAATGAAAAATTAGTATCATCAGAGTTCCAGCTTCAAACATTGTTCAGTCAAGTATTTCTGAATATTATTTTCTCTGATTGTGAGACTGAGATACATGCGGAGTGCAGAAACATAGGACAAATGTTAAATAGAAAGCAAATTTTGTAAAATGCTGCCAGGGCATCAGTGAATCAATATAAATAAAGGCTTGTGTAGCCATAGGACAAAGTACCTTGGAAATGGTACTTTCTGATACAGATATCCATTCCCTTTCACTTTGTTTGTCTTCCCTTTGATTTTTAAATTTTGTCCTATCTTTTTCTTTCCATTCTATTTTTCATCCTGTTACCTGTTTGTTACTATACTGTAAATATTACTGCTTTGCAAGCCCATCAGGGACTTCAGTTTTTRAAGTATTACCACATGTCAAGAATGAACTTTTTTCCTTTTGGATAAGGAAGAGTTGGCATCATACCTCCTACACATCAATTTCCTTACAGTTTAATGGCTCTGTTAAAAATATTTAAACCAGTTGTTGTATTCTGAAAAAAATGTTGTATATAAAGGGAATTCAGGGATAAACAAACTCTAAATTGTGTAACAATTTTTAAAATTATGTAGGATAAAATAATACCTTGAATCTTGGAGAACTTATTTCAAAGCATAAATAGAACATGTTTTTAAGACCTAGAATTCTTCTGTTGTGTGAAAGTTATCCATAGATGCTTCCATATATATGGAGGTTAAAAACTTTGGTTTGGTTAAAAGAAATGGGCCTGTTTCACCTGCACAAAGGTTTGTTTTCTCTCTGATTGATTCAGCCATGGTTTTTCTTCCTTGGTGGGTATATTCTAGCATCAGTTGATCTTGGTGGCAGACTTCCCTTTTGGCTTCAGAGGTGTAAAGTCAGTCTACACTGATTTGAAAGCCTTCCAAGTACATGTGCCTGMCACTGGAAACAGCCAGTTAAAGGAGGAATTTAAAGGAGAACAACTGCATGAATGTAGTTYAGGAACAAAAGCAAGTTTATTTTTTTATCAGATTTCCAATGACATTTGGTAGGTCATGGRTATGACAAAGAAGTCATGAAAGTCTGTTAATAGCTGAATATACACACTGTGGAGCTACGTTTTTAATGTGATTCAAAGGAACATCTTAAGGTTTTTACTTTTAAATGCATTGGTGTTTCAGCTATAAGATGTTATGTTGTCCCATTACACAAAGTAATTGTTTTAATATCCTACTTGAAACAATCTGTAGGGTGGCCAGTGATCATGAACTTGGCATTTGAGTATTTCTTGTTTTTTCTGTTTTGCTTTAGGTGAGGAGAGAGACTAATTTATGTTAGTGCTTCATAATTTAATGTTACTTACATTTTTTTGTGAGTGTTGATGCCTGGTTGAGAAATTGTACTTAAATACAGTTGTGTKTGATAGATGAGACAGAACATGTGCTAGTTTATGTAATTTAAAGGCTAGTTTATTGACTTCATGGCAGGAAAATAATAGTAATAACATTTTGAGCTCTTTTTAAAGTATGTATTAAAATAAATTTAAGAGTTGCAGTTACTGAGTAATAAAGCTATGATTTATTTATGAAGGTARTTCAATGAGTGCTAGTAAAGTAAGTATACTTTGTGAAGTATTTGATATGTGCTAGGCATGACACTTAAAAATTCGTCATCAGTTATAGGACAGTTCTTAAACTTCTTATAGTATAAATCCCATGTCTTTTTGTCATGTACTGAAGTCATGCATGACTCTGAGGGAGTGACAATGAAGTCACAAATCACAAAAATATTCTGTCACATTAAGAATTGTTAAATGATCTCAACACTGGAGAAACTTCTGGGGCTTCTGAAAATTGGAACATTCTCCAAAGTTCTTAAAACACTGGATTTGATTTTTATGAATGCATACTTACAATTTTTTTTCTTGAAAACCTATTCTTGGTTAAGTATGATGCAGGAGGGGAGGTGCCCATGTACAGTATGTCTCAAAACTCCTGGTGTCAAAGCTGGCTGTCAGCTTTTGGGCAAGTTCCAGTGGTTCAGGCTGGATCATGGTATGGGTGCCCTTCTGGAGCTGGGACAGCAAACTTTTGGGGTGCACAGAAATGCAGTGTGGAGCCCAGGAGGAGGGGCACCATTGACAAGTTCCCAGTGCTGGGATGCTGTGCTCCATTCTCCAGCTGTGGAGGGGATCAGAAAAGTGGAGGGGTTTCTTCCTGGGCTTTCCATTCTGCTTTCCTCTCCAGGCAGCTGAAAAAAGCATCCCTTTGCAGAAAACCAGGTCTGACAGGCAGCAGTGGTACCACTCTCTTTAGAGACAGGGCTGAACAACAGATAATGCTTTTGAAAGGAACAATTAATAGCTTATTAGTTGTAAAGAAGAAAGTAATTAAAACTGAGAATAAGTGAAATTATGCCACAGAGTGGTACTGGTGTGTACTTTCTTYCTGTACTCATTTTGCTGCAGATCAGAGTTTCCTTATCAGCATTGCCTAGTGTGGTGCTCATGCTTCTAGTTRTGTCACTGCAGCATTCTTGCATTTCCCCCTTAACTAGAAGATAACAGCTTCAATTTATTTTTGTGTTTATTGTCACTGTTTTCAAGGATATGAAAAAAAAAGGGTAGGTTTCTTATCACAACTTTTTAGTTTTAAACTGCTTCCAARTTTGAGTAATAAATTAATAAAGTCTTTCATATATGTCTGTCTGCATATGACTGGGTAATTGTAATAACTTGTTTTTGTAGTGGATGATGCTGGTAAGATAGAACACGAAGGTTCTGCTGAAATTACCATGGAAGCAGAGTCAGAAAGTGGCTCTTGTAAAGTGGATGGCATTTGTCCAGAAGTCATCAAGGTCTATATATTCAAAGCAGATCCTGGAGAAGACGATTTAGGTAAAATACACTTGTTTGAGAATACTCCAACCTGACACTTGGAATTTTGCATGAGACTGTCGTTTCTCTCAAGTGGTCTGTAAAGACCTGTGAGTCTGATMTTAAAGAGTGACAAACTTCCAATTTTTTGTGGTTTAGCATCGATTTTGGTCAAGTGTATTTAAAATATTTTTGCTCTGGTCTTCCTAATTAGGGGGCACAGTAGACATTGTGGAGAGTGAGCCAGAGAATGACCACGCAGTTGGATTGCTCGATCAAAATAGCAGTATTCGTATTCCAAGGGAGAAAATGGTTTACATGACTGTAAATGATTCTCAGCATGAAGACGAAGACTTAAGTAAGTAGGTGGCTTTCCTTTGGGAACAGGGATTTTGGCTTTTAGCAGTGCAGCATTCCTGTATTTTTTTTTTTTTTACTTATTTTTCTCTTAGATGTTGCAGAAATAGCTGATGAGGTTTATATGGAAGTGATTGTAGGAGAGGAGGATGCTGCAGCAGCYCATGAACAGCAAATTGATGACACCGAAATTAAAACTTTTATGCCTATAGCTTGGGCAGCTGCTTATGGTAAGTAATACTCAAAAAATAATACTCAATACATGTTCCTGATGACACTGCAGCAAAGTGTCAGGGATTGGTTTTTGGAGGGTAGTGTAGAGTATTTGTGCTTTTGTGTTTCTTTTTAGAGTTTTAGTTTAAGAATGGTTTCTTAGCATAATGAGCCTTAAAAAGAAGAGGGAAAGCTGTCAGACAGGCTTACTACTTCTTGCTCCTATTTAACGGGTATTTCCCTTCATATTTTCATGATGTGAAAGGGGAAATACAGGAACTGCCAGCTAAAGARTTGCATCTCAAGTACATCTGTCCCTTGCAGTTTTAGGACACAGTGAGAGCTGCCTTGGGAGTAGAACTGAATATTTTTATTGGGGGAGGGCAAAAAAAAGCCATATAAGATTAGGCGTAGTGGTGAAAAGTAACACTGAGCTCTAGCTTAAGTGCTTTCTAGATGGATCATATGAGTATGTGATTTATTAATRGCAATAATTAATTGATTAATGAAAAGAGGTTGGAGGAAGACATATTAAAATTGTAGCAGAACCTTGAGAGTATTTCCAGCATGCAGAACCATTTTTCTTGATTTTTGGTATCTGAACACCAATTGGTGCCCAAACAGATTTCCAAAACTTTTGTATGCTTAAGACTTGAATTTCATCTGAAAGAATGTTTCTCTGTTGCCCCTTTCTCCTTCTAATCAAAAGAGATTTTGATTAGAGTATAGGAGTAGAGAACAAATGGAATAGAGGACAAAACTTACGTTCTGCATGATGTGGATTGTGGTGATGGTGCCAGCAGACAATTGTGCTGGGAATACAGTGGGGGCTGGAATCTTGGATGTAAGTCAGGAAGGGACAGATTTYAGGGAGTAGTGTTTAAAAGTTGCTTAGGGGATGGCTGGTAGTGCACCCAAAGCCTTATCTTAGGCTATATATTGGTGAGTTTGAATGAGAAGGGAATGACATAAGCCAGTCTGAGTGGGAATTAAAAATGAARTTGAGTGAACTTGAAACAAGTTGCATACTAAACATTCAGTGATTTTGTAGAAGGGGGAGAAAATTGAGCAGAATGTATTAAAAACAGTGAGATGGAATTGAAAGAATTTAAAAACGTGGGAAACAGTGGAGTGGTTGCACTGTCAGCAKAAAGTGATTGAGCATGCAGGGTGAGAGATGGTGGGGACAGAGACAAATTAAGCATGAAGGCCTGAAAATGGCAGAGGAACACTTGAGCTAGCATATAGATGAGAATCTTCAGGCTCTGCACATGCCTGTGCCTGGCTCCGAGTCTCCTTACATTAATCATGAATATTAATTCTCAGCACTCTATGAAAGGAGCAGCTGTTGAGCATCTTGCACTTTGCACTGGAGTCTTCTGTCTTATTTGTATGCTTTGCTTTCACTAGGAAATRTTGGCTTTTATTGATTCAAGTAAATACTTGACCACAAAATTTATTGTTGAAGCTCACTTATGCCCTTAAATCACCAGTGTTAAACTGATTGCCAATAAATACCTTCTCAAATGTATTTGTAATTTTCATGTTTGTTTTGCATACAGTGATACCATTTGTTTATTAAACACAAAGCTCTGTGAGGCAAAGACTGTTTCCTTCTTTCTTTTACACAACACTGAGCATGTTCTTTGTTCCCAGTAGAAAGAATTTGTAAGTGCTAAAGCATCAGGTGTRTGAATAGTAAGTAGTGTACTTTGTGTGCCACTTTATGGGCTGTTCAGAAGGATTCTTTGATGACAAACTCCAGTCAGGTGAATTCAGACATACAGAAATGAATGAAAGCTCCCACACAAACATATTTCAGGACTGAGAAGAAAATTTGGCACAGTAGATATTGTGATATTATATTATTTACTGATGTTAAACATTTTGGGTATAATCAGCAAACAAAGAGATGCAAAAAATGCTGCATTTGAAGAATTCTCTGTGTAATGGAAACTCATTAATTCCTGTACATTGTGTAGTCCTGTAAAATTAGGTTAACAAAGCTAATGCCCATAATRCAAAGCATAATTCCTAAGTTACAGGGTGAGACATTTTGCATGTACAACTTACACTGTACATGATTACAGTTTGATTAAATATCCAGATAATAGTTTATCCTTTCTGTTGCTGCCATTGTAGAATTTGTGTCAAATTACCTGTAGTGTTGGTAGGTAACTGTTTAATGTACCTTGGTAGGTAATAATAACGATGGCATCGAAAGTCGGAATGGCACTGCAAGTGCTCTTTTGCACATAGATGAGTCATCTGGACTTGGGAGACTGGCCAAGCAAAAACCAAAGAAGAAGAGGAGACCTGAGTCCAGACAGTATCAGACAGGTGAGTATGTGGTGCYCAGCTCTACTCTTGTTGCTTCAGGCATTTGCTCATAAACAGATGCATGCAGAGTGTCTTGTAGAAAGAGGGATTTGGGGAGTTACTTGGTTGACAGCACTTCTGCTTTGTTAATGAGTGCATATTTTATTTTACAAATTTTAAATATGTGGGTGATTTGGATTGTGGCAGGTATTTTAAAGGAAACCATCTCTGACATAGGAAAAAATCAGTATCATAGCAAAAGGTTAAAAACCTAAAACTTGCCACACCAGTTTTTAATGTTTAATGTAACGTTTTTAAAGGTGATGTTAGATAAATGGTGTTCTGTAATAGTGCCTTTTAAAAACCCTTTTTGTCTTTATAGAAAATATATAGAACAAATGCATTTCATCAGCTCAGTATGTTGGAAAGTTGGAACATTGTACATTAATGTTCACTAGTGTAACTTCTATACCCTTTCCTGTTTTAATAGTGAAATAAATTGCCTTGATGTTCATGCTTATCATTTTCCTCTCATCTGTAAGAGCAGAAGTTCTCTATGGCATCATTTGTTTTCTGTTGTTATGGTCAGAATATTTACTTGGTGTGATAAAGCTGAAAAAGCACACAACTGTTTCCTTTAGTAGCCTTGCCTTAAATAATACTGAAAGCTTCTTTCCAAATTCTGAATTAACTGTAGGAGTTCTGTTATATTTAGTCCTTAGTAAACTGCAAATTAAAGTTGGCTTTTTCTACTTCCATCTAGTCAGTTGTCCTTATAAAACATTTTTCGAAAAGACAGCTTTTTTAATGTGCCTAGGCAAATTCAGGGTAAACAAATCAGGCTGATGGATGGGTGCAAATAATTTCCAAAGCTTTGAGGTTTCTGTATGTGAAACATGTTCTTATTGATTCCTGCTTGGTACCTCTTCAATTTGTAGCTGTGACAGATGGTGTAAGAAGGAGGTGTTAGTTTGGGGGCATCTGAATTGTAGTCAGTGGTAGGTGATTAAACTGTCAGATGAAACTTTATCTACAGATTTGTGGAGAGTCAAGAGAAGATATTGTGCTTTGCTTACTAGATGGTACTCAATTTAACAATTTGGCTGCTGTTCTTTGCACCAGCCATTGGTTTCTGCATGTATTTAACTTGTGAACTCAAAGTTCTTCAAAATAGAATTATTTGAGATGAAGAACATAAAAAACAGTGTTTCCTTTCTCTTAGTAATAAAAATGAGTGAAAGTAGTAATTCCCTCAGTTTCTTCTGCTTAACTCAGTAAGAAGCTTGTTTATTGTATAGTTAAGTCTATGCATCTGGTCTTGCTCAACAATTCATCTAATTGTTAACATCTGACATTATTGAAGTGTGGTATTCTTGTATAATATTGATAAAATGTTTTTTTGTTGCTTTTTCAGCAATAATCATTGGCCCCGATGGTCATCCGTTGACGGTCTACCCCTGCATGATTTGTGGAAAGAAATTTAAATCTAGAGGTTTCTTGAAAAGGCACATGAAAAACCACCCRGAGCACCTTCTTACTAAGAAGAAATACAGATGCACAGACTGTGATTACACTACGAATAAAAAAATAAGTTTACATAACCACTTGGAGAGTCATAAGCTGACCAACAAAACAGAAAAGCTTATTGAATGCGACGAGTGTGGGAAAACCTTCTCTCATGCAGGAACTTTATTCACTCACAAGATGGTGCACAGGGACAAAGGAGTTAATAAAATGCACAAGTGCAAATTCTGCGATTATGAGACAGCAGAACAAGGGTTACTGAGTCACCACCTTTTGGCTGTCCACAGCAAGAACTTTCCTCACATTTGCGTGGAGTGTGGCAAAGGGTTTCGCCACCCGTCGGAGCTCAAGAAGCACATGAGGATCCACACTGGTGAGAAGCCCTACCAGTGCCAATATTGCGAATATCGATCTGCCGACTCTTCCAACTTGAAAACCCACGTAAAGACTAAACACAGTAAGGAAACGCCSTTGAAATGCGATATTTGTTTCCAGACTTTTTCAGATACCAAAGAGCTACAGCAGCATACGATTATGCATCAAGAAAGTAAAACGCATCAGTGTTTGCATTGTGACCATAAGAGCTCAAACTCGAGTGATCTGAAACGACACATAATTTCAGTCCACACAAAAGACTATCCTCATAAGTGTGATATGTGTGATAAAGGCTTTCACAGGCCTTCGGAACTGAAAAAACAYGTGGCGGCTCACAAGGGGAAAAAATTGCACCAATGCAGACATTGTGACTTTAAAATTGCAGATCCGTTCATTCTGAGTCGCCACATACTCTCAGTTCACACAAAGGATCTTCCATTCAGGTGCAAGAGATGTAGAAAGGGCTTTAGGCAGCAAAATGAGCTGAAAAAACACATGAAAACACACAGTGGCAGGAAAGTTTATCAGTGTGAGTACTGTGAGTATAGCACTACAGACGCCTCAGGCTTCAAACGGCACGTGATTTCCATTCACACAAAAGACTACCCTCACCGGTGTGAGTATTGCAAGAAAGGTTTCCGAAGGCCTTCAGAGAAGAACCAGCACATTATGCGACATCATAAAGATGTTGGGCTGCCTTAAAGTCTCTTTCACAGACTTATGGCTGGAATTATAAAGGAAATTTGCCTTTCAGGCAGTTAGCTTATTTTAAAGCCAATCACCTGCGATCACACACAAAAAAAAAAMCMAMMAAAAAAAAATACTGTGCATTTGATTTGTTGCTGTATAAAAATAGGATTATTGCTTCTAGTTGACTTTTATACCTTTTGTTCAATAGCGTGTTCTGAATTCTATTCAGTTTGTTTAATAAATGAAGAAAAGATGGCAACAATAAAGTTGCATTTAATAAAGTAAACCCTGTCTCTTACTGAATTTTTCAACCACAATAGTTTATTTAAATATATTTATCTTACTGACCTCGTTGATACTCACAGTGTCCATGTTAACGCAGTTTTGTCGTGAATTTTAAAAATACAAAATTTCTCTTGATAAAATTGTCAGAGGTGTGTATAAAATGGGAAATTGTCATGTTGACAGTAAAGTCACTAGGGCCCACCTGATTGTCTTGTTTTAACTATACAGACTTCATGGCAGGTTAACTATTTTCTAGTTGAGGAGTTACAATTCTCACTTCGTGTTTTCATTCTGGTTTCAGARAGAAAAATATTTTACAAATGGTTTGGGGCGGTTTTTCTCTTTCCTGGGCAAATTTAAAAGTATGCACAAATATTACATTTATTGTTCTGTGCTTCTTTGTCTTTGAAAGGTTTTGTGTGTTACAAAAGAGTTGGGTTTTTTCTGCTTTACTCCTGTCTTAATGTTGGAAATGTGAAATACTCTTGTTCCATTTGCAAAGTTAACAATAGGTCACAACTGTCTGTATGTGCTGGTAAACGTACCTCAAACTTTATGCTTTTAGATATGTTGGTATTTCTTTGAAAGAGCAGTTTGTGGTTCAAGTCACATTTTTATTGTTAGTTGTTTTAGAATAAAATGTAAGACCAAGAGGTGCCTCGATTTTGGAAACCAGATATTTACAGTGAGAGCTTAAGAAGGGAATGGAGCAGAGCAGATGAGTTCATAAAGAGTAGAGATATTGTAACATAGATATCCTTAATAAAAAAAAAAAGTAACTTATGATAGATGCAGTTGTTCTGTTACTAAATTGTTTTTCCTGAGCCATTAGTAGCTGTGTTCAGCTGCTCTTTATTAATTAGTACAGCATCCAGAATTAACCCAGWTCTTTTAATCTGTTTATAAACAGCTGGGGGAATATTACAATTACYAGATGCAATTTTGCCACCTGAAGACTATTATAAAGTAGCGCCATATCATTTGCTAATTGCTGCATAAATGTACCAAGCACAAAGTCATGTACTTTAACAACAACTGTGGAGCAAAAAACCCAAACCACTTTAATTACAGGCCAGATTTTAGGACCTGGTCCTGCTCCTCTTGCTCAAATTCCCACTCCAGCCACTGTTTGATGATGGATTGCAGAATTCAGTCCCATCTGCCTGCCAGATTAGGATAGATTTGTAACCAACAATTCACTAATGGAAAGGCTCCAAACCCTGGACCAATGTTAATTCCTGTTTCTAGGCAGGTGAACTTCTGGTTGAAATCAAACAGGAWTTTTAGTGATGGTTTCAAGTCTGGGGTCATAGAGGSACAAAGGTTTCCTTTTTGGATGTGCATCTTCTAGGCCTGTTGTATTTTGTCTTGTTACCAAGCCCTGCCCCTACTGCTCATCCCTCCTGTCTCACTGTAAACTGAAATATTTGTCTGTAGTGTGCAGTTCAGGAGAGTCCAATGCCACGTCACTGCCTGTGTTGTAGGATGATTTTTTCTTTCTTTGCTGCTTGCAGTGCCCCCAGCCTTGCCCAGTGTGCTCTTTGTGTAGAGTTGCTACTTAGAGCGTGTAAAACCTGGCTGTGCTGCATTGTGCCTTCCCTGAAATCCCTGCTGGAGCCATGGATTCCCTCCATGGCCGTAGTGTCCGTGTCCTACTGATGCCAAACCAGATGCAGTAAAACCCACTCGCTTCTTGCAAAGTACCTGCCTGTGACTACTTTTATCCCCTCTCTTATGTTCAAGCGTTTTCTAACTGGAAACCTGGAAATTGTACAAAATCTGCATAAATTCCCATAGTAGTGCTGAGGATTTTAGCCATTTTGAACTTTATTTTTTTAAATAAGCTGAAAGACAAAGAACACAATTTTATGCATTTTCTTTCTCTTACTTAGCCTGGAATCATACACACTTTTTTTTTTTTTTTTTTAAAGCACAATGTTGAAACTTTTTTTTTAATAATTAAGGGTTTGGTCAAGTGGATTTTGTAAAATGTATTTGTCTGTATAAAGAGAAAATGGAATTATAGTTATTGTTAATGTACTGACATTAGTTACAGGTTAGTTTTAATTCTTAAATAATTTGCTTAGCAAATGCTATAAAATGGATGTTTCAGTTTAATGTTTAAAAAAGGTACAGATTTTTACAAGGACATAATATAAATTATTGTTCTGTAGAAAATACCCTGTTAAATATTGTATACGTCCTTCCCTCTGTACACTTTGTAAAAAAGACAAAAGAAAAAAACAAAATACATAGAACCATATAGGGATGTGTGACATTATTGTAATTGTGTACTTGATAATAACGTGAAAAAATAAAATTCAAAATATTTTCCTTTTAATGAACGTTTAGTCTATTTGATGCCAGTTCTGAGATGGAGCCTTGCTCTGAGGGACACAATCTGCAGCTCTACTGCACTTTAATTTCCCTTTTGCTCCTGTTCTTCAGCTCATTCTCTGTAGTACCGGGGTGGGGGCGATTCAGAAACGCTCCTTTACTTGGAAGTTTGCAAAAGTGAAAGGGATGGCAGGTCTTCTAAATCCACTTTAATGCCTGGTTTTATATTAAAGAATCTGTGTCTGTTGAACTTCTGATAATGCCTTCATGTTTTTCAGCAAGGTGGTTACGTACTWAGAGCTATTACAGTGTCCCAAAACGCCCCACCAGACCTCGAAACGAATGAGGGGCATTRTTGGGACTGAATAAATGTTTCCTGRTGKTTTTGATGSGTGAGMCCAGCAGGAGCCCTGCTCCCTCTTCCCACTGGGATGGGTGAGCYCAGCGTGGCTGTGGCAGGGATGATGTGCCAGCTCTCTGTGCAGGGCAGGCAGTGGCTGCCTGGGGATGCAGAGGATTTGTGGCTGCTCTCCCCCTGCTCTCCAAATCCTTCAGCTCAGTTCATTTGTGGCCTGGTGGGAGCTCCTTTGGCAGTGGTCAGTCCAGCACAGGCCATCCCACGCTGATGGTGGACATCACCCAACCTGCAGAGGTGCTGCTGGGTGTCACTGCCCTCTCTCTGCACCTCCCTTCCAAGGTGTGTCTGCTGCCCAGATCCCTTCAGGACATTTATCCCAGTTTACTCTCACTGGTACTTTTAGGAAATGCTGACTTTACTCCTCGTGCATCACGCAGCCCCACTGGCATTGGACAACTCTTCACAGTACGGATCTGTCACACAGCGTAGCCAGCAATCTCCTTTGCTTTGGCTTTTTGTTTTCTCCATCTACCTGATGTTCCTCAACCACTCATCATGAAAATGTGCATTGAGTACCACACACGTTCAGGGCACTGGAGAAGAAATGCACCCATTTCTGGCTGCTGTGAGGAAGGGCCAGGAGCAGGTGCCAGCTCTAGACTAGCAAATGCCCCCCTACTCTAAGATCTCCCCCTCTTCCTCTTGCATTTCCTTCACTGTGGAAGCCTCACTGCTCTGCTGAAGGATCCTCTGCTTGCCCAGGAGCTGCAGCCCCCATGGGTGATTCCCCCTCACTGGGACACATTAGCAAAGGCACCCAGAGCCTGGATGCCAACCCTAGAGATCTTGGACAGCCTTATTTGCAAGCCAAAAGCCTGTGTCATGTCACTAATTAGTAAAATAAGCAGCTGGCTAACAGCTCACTGCAATTCCCTAGCTTGTTAAAGGTASTAATTAAAATTAAATAATATATCATTAATAGAAAATATAATCAGTACATTAACAATTATGACAGGTAGAAAGCTTGACTGAAGAGGTGCCGACAAACCAATGAGGAAGTGAGTACAGGGGTCAAGGGCAAAGAAGTGATTGTTGATACACACAAATGAAAAACTTATATTCAGTTTTTGAGATGTTTGAAGAGGGTGTAGGTTGATTTGGTTTCCTTGAAGTACCAATSCAGAGAAGGCAAGCCTTTTGATACTTTTTTATTTTCCAAAAGTTGCATAAGTATCAAATAAGGCTGGGGATAATTTTTTCCAGACCTGCAGCATTCAAGAATGCTATAGGCGAAGAGCATTTAAAAATGCTGACCCGGCTGGGCAGGGGCTGAGGAGCCTGAGTGAGTCTATTTAGAGGAGCTAAAGTGCTTGGAATCAGGTTTTTGATGAAAAACCTATGCTTGGAATCAGGTTTTTGATTAAAAACCTGTGCTCTGTAGTCAAAGCCCAAAACAGGTCACTGTAAAGCACCAGCCCAGACAAGAGCATTTCTGACAGAGACCACAGAGATGTTCTGTCCTAGGAAAAAGAAAGCCACTCAGAGTGCTCATTTTGAGATTTTTTTAATTAAAGTCTAGCGGGGTGGTTAGAAGTTGAAAGGATAACCTACGAGCAGTGTCAGACTGGRTCYGAAAGTCCTGCCTTGTCCTATTTASATTTCTTGGTCTTAGTTCAGYTGCTCKCATCCAGGCACAAAAGCCACCTGTGATTGATTTTCTTGGGATTGCCGRTGCTACACAGGTCCTGAGGGGAATCTGTGCATGATGGTGTGCCCAGAGTCCTTTGAAACAAGTACAGATGAAAAGACACACACTCTCAAGTTTTAGCAAACTTTTTTTTTTTTTCTTCGTCGTCTAAAAATTAGAAAATTCCCATAGCGCAACAAGCGAAAAAAAAATCCTTCAGTAAACCACCAGAAAGACTCTAAGCACCCCTCTGAAAGCCCCAGAAAAATAGCTACTCCCAGGAGAAAAGAAAAAAGCTTTAAGATCAACAGCTAGTTCCACAGATTTTTTTATTTTTATAATTTTAAATAAATATTTTTTCCTTTTCTTTTCACTTTCCTCTCTGTAGAAAAGTTTATCTCCAGAACCTGAATAAGAAAAAGAGAGAGAAAAAAGAAAAAAAAGTTTGC